GGGGTCGTGCCTGGACCCCATTCGAATGGGGGGTCGTACTCACACCGACATTTCGCACATCCCCATGCTGTACCCTGATAGCGATTTATCGTGCCAACTGCCTTCAAAAGGAGATCTAGATACATCGACAATGTCAGAATGGTGGTTGCGAATATGCAGATTAGAAGTGCTACGGGGATCTCGAAAACGAGTTATGGGTGGTCAAAGTTTGCTGCAACTGCAATGTCGGCACGAGAGCAGTGCTGGCAGGATGGCCGATAGTGGCGCCGTGGCCTGACGGTAACTCTCTCGTTTCACGGGCGAGCACACAGGTTTGCTCCCCTTGACGCGAAGCTTTTGTTTTGTTCCCGATAGAGTTCTCATTCGTTCCCCCGATATCGACCCATCAGAGCGGGTAGATCAAGTATCTGACGTCGCAGATCAAATATAGAATTGGTAACCATCTACTCCTTAAGACAGTCACTACTTACCCAACTCGGAGTTTGGGCGAGGATCTCAGTTTGGCCAAACTTGTGTCCAGGAGTAGTCTGATCCCGTGAATACGAAGGGGATCTGACATCAAACAGCGGGCTATAGCGGGCTTGGCGCTGTCGCCTGTCCGGTGGGCTATGGCGTTTGAAACGCCTATAGCCAGCCGGACAGGCGACAGCGCCAAGCCATCGTGAACACCGAGTTGGCAGAAATCATGTCTCCGCGGGTAGCTTAACCCCCAGGGAGCGAATGTCATGACCGTTCAGCTCGAAAACACTCGCCTTGAAGATAGTCTGATCCTTTTGTCACGTTGTAGTCACAGCACCTATGATGAGAGAACTGGTCGTTTTCGCGTCATACGGATGCGATAATCGTATTCAGGGGTGAAACTACTCCCCGGGCCAAGTTGAGACCTGGCCTGAACTTCCAGTTGTCGGATAGGTGGAGTGGAAAGAGTCGTAAGAGTTAGATGATGAACAGTTCCACATTTGATCTACCATGTCAAACGCTTGACCTACCGCTCTGTTGGGTCGATAAATCGGAGAGATGTCAAAAAATGGAGTGAAAGCTCCTAGCGAAGACAAAGCAAAATCTCGTCAAGGGGGAGCAAACTGGTGACCACTGCCCGTGAATCGAGACTATTACCATTTGCCTACGGTGCCTTTCGCAGCTATACAGCCAGCACCGCTCACATGCCATCTGACATGCAAATCTTGACCACACAGACTCGTGTGGGAAATCCCCCTAGCATTTTCAATCTGCATATTCGTTATCAGCATTCGAAACGCTTTCGATGTACCTATGCCTCCTTTCAAAATTGCACGGAGGGTAGGGACCATTCCCCTGTAACATCTCCTGACCAGCGGCCCCACACAAGGGCCCCTCCGCCTTCAACCAAATTAGCAAAGTTGAAAAAAAACTGCGATTAGAAGAGACCTGCTGTTAGAGTTCATGAGCCTCTTGAGTTCCTTTGAGTCACCTCTGATAATTGCTCTGATAAGAAGACGAGAATTAGTGATAAAACTAGCATATTCAGGAGTTTTCGGTGATACAAAGAACGGATTCTCCTGAAAAACGCTATGTTGCTTGGCGGGTTTTTCAACGAGCAAACAAAACAGCAAATTAAAATAAACAGTAAATAAACAAATGAAAGATGAAATGAGTAAAGCGATGGCCACGTGGAAA